GTAGAGGGGCGCCTGGGTGGCTCAGTCGTTAAGCGTCTGCCTTCGGCTCGTCATGGTCCCAGGGTCCTGGGATTGAGTCCCGCATTGGGCTCCCTGCTCTGCGGGAAGCCTGCTTCTCCCTCTCCCACTCCCCCTGCTTGTGTTCCCTCTCTTGCTGTGTCTCTCACTGTCAAATAAATAAATCTTTAAAAAAAAAAATAAATGTTTGGTAGAATTCACTGTGAAGCCATCTGGCCCTGGACTTTTGTTTGTTGGGAGATTTTTGATTACTGATTCAATTTCTCTGCCGGTTGTCAGTCTGTTCAAGTTTTCTATTTCTTCAGTTTTGGTAGTTGATATGTTTTTAGGAATTTCCGTTTCTTCTAGGTTGTCCAATTTGTTGGCCTATAGTTTTTCATAATATTCTCTTATAATTGTTTTTATTTCTGTGGTGTTGGTTGTGATTTCTCTCATTTGGATCCTTCTTTCTTTTTGATGAGTCTGGCTAGGGGTTTATCAATTTTATTAATTTTTTCAAACAACCAGCTCCTGGTTTCATTGATCTCTTCTATTGTTCTTTTAGTTTCTACATCATTTATTTCTGTTCTAAACTTTATTATTTCCCTTTTTCTGCTGGCTTTAGGCTCCATTTGTTGTTGTTTTTCTAGCTCCTTTAGGTGTAAGGTTAGGTTGTGTATTTGAGATTTTTCTTGCTTCTTGAGGTAAGTCTGTATTGCTATATACTTCCCTCCTAGGATTGCTTTTGCTGCATCCCAAATGTTTTGGACCATTGTGTTTTCATTTTCATTCATTTTCCATGTATTTTTTCCTGGTTGACGCATTCATTGTTTAGAAGCATGTTGTTTAACCTCCTTGTATTTGTGGTCTTTCCAAATTTTTTCTTGTGGTTGACTTTAAGTTTCATAGCTTTGTGGTCAGAAAATATGCATGGTATGATCGTAATCTTTTTGTACTTGTTGAGGCCTGTTTTTTGACCTAGTATGTGATCTATACTGGAGAATGTCCCTTGTGCACTTGAAAAGAATGTATATTCTGCTTCTTTAGGATGGAATGTTCTGAATATATCTGTGAAGTCCATCTGTTTCAGTGTTTCATTCAAAACCATTGTTTCCTTGTTGGTTTTCTGCTTAGATGATCTATGCATTGCTGTAAGTGGATGTTAAAGTCCCCTGCTATTATTGTATTATTATCAAGGATTTCCTTAATGTTTGTTATTAATAGTTTTATGTATTTGGGTACTCCCATGTTGGGGGCATAAATATTTACAATTGTTAGATTTTCTTATTGGATAGTCCCCTTTATTATGATATAATGCCCTTCTTCATCTCTTGTTACAGTCTTTGTTTTAAAATCTTGTTTGTATGATATACGTATTGCTACTCCAGCTTTCTTTTGACATCCATTTGCATGATAAATGTTTCTCCACCCCCTAACTTTGAATCTGCATGTGTCTTTAGGTCTAAAACGACGTCTCATATATATAGGCAGTGTATAGATGGGTCTTGTTTTCTTATCCATTCTGACACCATATCTCTTTTGATTGGAGCAAGAAGTCCATTTACATTGAGAGTAATTATTGATAGATATGTATTTAGTGCCATTTTTTAAAAAAGATTTTATTTATTTATTTCACTGGGAGAGAGGGAGAGAGAGAACTCAAGCAGGGGGAGTGACAGGCAGAGGGAGAGGGACAAGCAGGCTCCCCGCTGAGCAGAGACCCTGATGAGGGGCTCGGTCCCAGGACTCCAGGATCATGACCCAAGCGGAAGACAGACACTTAACTGACCGAACCACACAGGGTCCCCTTTAGTGCCATTTTATTGCTTGTTTTGTCATTGTTTCTGGAGATTTTCTCTGTTCCTTTCTTGTCTTTGTCACTTCTGGTCTTTCCTTTCCACTTAAAGCGTTCCCTTTAATATTGCTTGCAGGGCTGGTTTAGTGGTTATGAACTCCTTTAGTTTTTTTTTGGTCTGGGAAACTCTTTATCTCTCCTTCTATTCTGAATGATAGCTTTTGTTAGATAGAGAATTCTTGGCTTCACATTTTTCCCATTTAGCATGTTGACTATATCATGCCACCCCCTTCTGGCTTGCCAAGTTTCTGTTGAGAGATCTGCCAGCTAGCCTTATGGGTCTTCCCTTTATACCACATCTTCTTTCTCCATTCATCAGTTGATGGACACTTTGGTTGTTTCCATAATTTGGCTATTGTAGATAATGCTGCTATAAACATTGGGGTATTCTTTGGGTAAATACAAAATGGATCATAGGGTAGTTCTATTTTTAACTGTTTGAGGAACCTCTATACTGTTTTTCAGAGTGGCTATGCCAGTTTGCATTCCTTGTTTAATATTTTGTGAAGGATTTTTATCTATCTTTATCAGAGATACTGGTCTGTAGTTTTGATACTGGTTTGTAGTATTGTTTTCCCTAATATCTTACTCTTTTTTGGGGGAAGAGTTTGTGTGAACTGGTATTATTTCTTACTTAAATATTTAGTAGAATTTATCATTGAAACCATCTGGTCCTGTAGTTTTCTTTGTGGAAAGATTTTAAACTACAGATTCAATTTCTTTAAAATATATAGGACTATTTGGGTTACTTATTTCTTCTTGAATGAGCTTTAGTAATTGTGTCTTTAACAGAATTTAAGTTGTTGAGTTTATTGGTATAAAGCTGTTAAAAATACTCCGTTGTTATCTTTTTAATACTTTAGGAATCTAGAGTGATGTCACTTCTCTTATTTCCTAATACTAGTAATTTGTGTCTTTTTTTTCCCCCAAGATTAGTCTGGCTGGAGGTTTACCAATTTTATTGATCTCTGCGAAGAATCAGCTCTTGGTTTTATTGATTTTATTTTCTATTTCATTAATGTTTGCTTTTATCTTTATGACTTTTTTTCCTGTTAACTTCAGGTTCTCTTTTATTAAGATTTATTTATTTATTAGAGAGAGAGAGAACGTGTACATGCATGTGTGAGGGATGGGGGCAGAGAGAGAACAAATGTATTTTCTGCTCTTTTTGGTCTTTTTGGGTAGAGGTTTCTAAAAATGTCAGTCAGGTTTTGTTGGTTTATGGTATGTTCATGTCTACTCTATTCTTTTTTTTTTTTAAAGATTTATTTATTTATTTGAGAGAGCGAGAATGAGAGAGAGTACATGAGAGGGGGAAGGGTCAGAGCGAGAAGCAGGCTTCTCGCTGAGCAGGGAGCCCGATGTGGGACTCAATCCCGGGACTCCAGGATCATGACCTGAGCTGAAGGCAGTTGCTTAACCAACTGAGCCACCCAGGCGCCCCATGTCTACTCTATTCTTTATGATTGCTTAATAATTGTTATAAGCTACCACTTAAACAGTGTGTCCCAGGATTCCTTATGTAGTGGGACTCTTTATTTTCTCCAGTTTTATTGAAATATAATTGACATATTACATTATATTAGTTTTAGGTGTACAATAAGCTAGTGGGATCCTGTAGAGAAGTTTCAGAAAAGCAGAGGATTGACTTGGATACATTTGTATTTTATAGAATGTTGATGTTGGTGGTGGTAAGAAGGATAGTTTGAATGGGAAGGTCTTATGTTAAGGGAATGATGTTAGTATGGTCTTATAGTAGTTTAGGGGAGAGAGGTTGATATTCCTTGCTAAGACATTGGCAAAGAGAATAAAGAGAGGAAGCCAGATCTGAAAAATATTTTTGAAGTTGAGTCAGTAGCTTGATAATTGGATGCAGGTGCATGGAGAGAGAAATGGAGACAAGGAAGACCACTTAAAGGTGTTTGGCCTGTGAGCCTAGGAAAATGGAAGCAGAAAAGTTTAAATCATATGGATTAATCGTAGGGGGGAAAAAAACCAGACAAATTTAGATTATGGTATAGATTCTTTGATGTATTTTTTCCTTTCATGACATTGACATTTTTTAAGAGTTTAGGCCTGTTGTCTTACAGAATATACCATAATCTAGCTTGTCTGGTTTTCCTCCTATGATTAGATTCTGGTTAAACATTTTTGGCCAAGAATACTAAAAGCTTCTCATTGGATCATATCAGGTGGTACATGATGTTTGTATGATTATTGATGATGCTAACTTTAATCACTTGGTAAAGGTATTTTCTACCTGTTCTCCTTCCTGCAATTATACATTTATTTCTTTTTAATTAAAAGTATCTTGGGGTTAATATTTTGTATTCCTACAAAGTAGTAAGCAGTCTATGGAAAACAGCAGATTGTGTGTGTATTCTGTAACTTGATCCTCAATTTTGGAAGGTGAACAATAGGTTTTGAGCTCACATGGAAATAATGGTGTGAATGGAATGTTCAGATGACAAAGGAAAGGGTGGTTATGAAATGAAGATGGACAGGTAGAACTTTTGTGCCACACCACAATGGGAACATTGAAAGGTTTTTAACATGGAGTTGGTTGGGGTGCTACAATTGGATTTGAGGGGTTTTTTGTTTGTTTTGTTTCTTTTTTTTAGAGAGAGAGATTTGAGAGTACTAGTGAGAAAATTAACAGAATTTGGTGACTGGTTAAATGTTGAGCGTGGAGGATTGAGAGTTTCCTGGTGACATAATATTTAGTAGGATTGCCTGACTCTTTGACTAGATTGTACTAAGTATGACATTTAAGGAATTAGATTTTATAATTGTTACAGAGACAGGGCATTGTGGATTCTTTTAGTTTCTCATCTTCTTTGTACTTATTCTGCTTTTATGAGGATGTTAACAATATGATTCTATTTAGGGAAGTGATTTCTTCTTGTTTTATTCTACCCAAAATGTATACTAAGAGCTGCCGCTAAGCCTTTGAATGGATAGAACAGGATCTGGTACAATCTCTTAAAATGATTGCACTAGGTGGAATAAGATTTTTGTGCAAATAATTTGTAAGGTCACCCCTAGCTCTAAAATTTTGATTCTATGGTATATCTGTTTTTCTCTCAGACAGTGTATTTTATTTCCTGAAAAATTTAATGTTTTCTTTGTCTCTCTCTGTTTTTCGAAGATGTTCTCAGTGCAACTGAGTCTTGGTGAGCAGACATGGGAATCCGAAGGGAGCAGTATAAAGAAGGCCCAACAAGCCGTTGCTAATAAAGCTTTGACTGAATCTACACTTCCCAAACCAGTTCAGAAACCACCGAAAAGTAATGTTAATAATAACCCAGGTATGGCACTGACTTGTTTCTTTCTGTTGTCTTGTTGTGTTCTATATGTGTTGTTCTCTGTACTTTCTTCATAGCAGGCCATCTGTGTAGTCAACAGGTATGAGTAGCACATGCACAAAAAACAACTGAATGATAATTGAAGGTGAGAGAATGAGGAAGGTAATTATAATTATTTTAAAAATTTGCTTTGTGGATACTCTAAAGATGCGTTATTTACTTTTTAAATGTTGACAAAAATACATTTGGATACAAAGAACAGAAAGTATGACTGAGTTTTTTTTTTTTTAGGTTTTTTATTTCAATTCCAGTGTAGTTAACATACAGCATTATGTTAGTTTCAGGTGTACAATGTAGTGATTCAAAAAGTCTACACATTACTCCGTGCTCATCCTGATAAGTGTACTCTTTAATTCCTGTCACCTATTTCTTCCATCCCTCTACCCACCTCCCCTCTGGTAACCATCATTTTGTTCTCTATAGTTAAGAGTCTGTTTCTTGGTTTGTCTCTCTCTCTTTCATTCCCTTTGTTCATTTCGTTTCTTATATTCCATATATGAGTGAAATCATACAGTATTTGTCTTTCTCTGACTGACTTATTTCATTTAGCATAATACTGTCTAGCTTCATTTAGCATAATACTGTCTAGCTCCATTCTTTTTTATGGCTGAGTAATACTCATATATATTCATATATATATATATATATATATATATATATATATATATATATATCCCACCTCTTCTTTATCCATTCATCTATGGCTGGACAATTGGGCTGCTTCCATAATTTGGCTATTGTAAATAATGCTGCAATGACTGAGTTTTTTGTAAAGTAAAGATAGAAATGATCCATTTTTCTTTTTATATAATATATAAAAATACACAGTTTAATAATTAAAAAGTTATTGTTTATTTTAGCTTAATAAAAATTATACAGTTAGGTCTAAGCATCTTATTTTGCTTGTTGGTGTAGAAATGGTTGATAGGACTGTTCAAATTTAGAATACTTACGGAAGTTTATAAAGAAACCCACAAATCCAAAAAAACCCTCTGTGTGATATAATGCTAAGTAAACAAGTTTTCCAATTTTTATCTCCTAAGAATAATTTTAAGGAGTTTTTCCTGTTGCATATAATACCAACATTGTGCATCCAGTCATCTATTTGGAAGAGGCAAATCTGTATTGGACATAATGCATGAATTGATAACATCAAGTTAATAAAGTTCCATAAGTTTAATACTAGCCCTATATCCATTTACTCATTAATTTATTAATTTAAGAGGTTACCTTCTGACAAATATTACTTTAGGTATTTTTGTGATGAGTAAAAAAAAAGACTTTTTCCTGCCACAAATGACTGTAATCTATTTAATTAGAGTGAGTCCACATGCTCAGGCTCATAATCATCTGATGCTTCTTTCTTTCTCATGTGGCATGTGCTAAGTAGACATAATCTATTCTTTCAAGGACTGCTGTCCCTAAAACTGCATGAATTTCCTATTACTCCTCCTTTTGCTTCTGTTCAACTGATTCTAGTAGTTATTAAGTAAGCTTAAATAAGCAAAATATTATTACAGTAAAGAAAAACACCTAGTCATTTGAAGTTGGTAAGAGGCTGTCTCCTTTTATAATTTTTAAAAATCTCTTTAGGTTACTGATTGATCATTAGTACCACACCACTGCCTCTATGTATTAAGCACTTGCTTTTATATATTTAAGAGATATAAAACATTGTTCTTTTCTGTGAAAACTTTACAACTGTTTACATAAATCACATAATTTAAAGGTAAAGATTAGGTACCAAGTGAATAATAACACTTGTCAGTATTATAAGTAATGATAAACATGGATGGGAGTATTTGAGGGAAGATAAGGTCCTTGAATGGAGAGTAGGCAGGTCTAGAGGTGAGGAAAGAATATTCTAGGCAGAGGGAGTACAATGAAGAAAGGCATTGGAAATAGGATTGTGGATGATAGTTTTGATAAGAAAACTTTTTTGGGAGTGGTTTTTAATTAGAGCAGGTAAGTGACTAGGAAGACTCGAGATGTAGTAAGGGTGAATTGTGATGGACTTGAATGCCAGGTTTAGGAGATCAGATTTTATCTGTAGTTTAGGCGATTAGTGTTTATAAGCTAGTGGATGATGTGTTTAAAACAGCATTGTAGGAAGTTCAGTTTGATATGTGGATTGAAGGTGGAAAATACTAAAAGCAAGATCAGTTAGGAAACCGTTTGCCAGAGTTTATGGGTGAGGAAAAGAAACTCCTGTGCATCGAGTACTGTATGCCCTCTGCTCTGTAGTATTGGGAATGGCCTGGGAATGGAACAGAAGGACCAGTGTTGCTGATCCAGTGGTTGAAGCCGTGTTAGAGAGCAAGCTGTTCGGAGCATACAGTGTGAAGCAAGAGCAGTGTGTGCCCATCTCTGCAGCAGGTTCACTTTAGAGGATTATAATGGCAAGTAAACCAACAAGGGAGTCAGGGGAAGGAAACAGAGAGTCCGAAAGGCCAGTGGTGATGAGTTTGCGCTATTGAGTGTTGCAGTGAGCTGAGAGAATGAGTAGCTTTTGGAAGGTAAAGTTTTAAAATAGAGAATAATACTGCATACCGGCAAGTGCACAAATTATAATTGTAGAACCTTGATGATTTTTTGCTAGCACCACAGGCTTTACCAGTGCCCCAGAAGCCTCCCTCATGTCCCCTTCTAGTGGTCAAACAACCTCAAAGGAAGCCACTCTTCTGCGTATCTATCTTAAATTCATTGTGCCTGCTTATTAGAATCATGCACTGTACTCTTTTGTGATAGCTTGTTTTTCTCAGTGTTAACATCTGTGAGATTCATCCATGTTGTATTTAACAACATAGTATTTCATTGCTATACAGTATCCATTGCATGAATATACTGTAACTTATTTATTTATTGTACTATTGATGGACATTTAGATTGTTTCCAGTTTCAGGCTCTTAGAAGTCAAACTGCTGTGAACATTCTTGCATGTGTACATTTTTGTTGGGGACGTACCTAGTATTGGAACTGTTGGGTCATGGGTTATGCATGTGTTCATGCAAATCAGAGTAAGAGTTAAGACTGGAGGTCAGTGAGCATACACAAAAGACAGGTATCATAGCTGCTGTTCTTACATCACAATCTTTTATTCCTAGACCTACTGGGAAAGATAAGAAAGCTGTTGAGGCATCAGTTAGACACAGTAAGGAAACTATCATAGTTTTGGCCAGGTTGAATAGTGAATTAGAGCAACAATTAAAGTATGTCCTTGAAGAGAGAATTTCCTTGGAAGTTCAGCTGGAAAAACTTTGACCATTCTCTTACCTATAAGCCAATTGCTGTAAACTGTGAACATATCCATTTTTAAGTGGTTTGGGTTTACCCAATTTGGAGGCCCAAACATTCAGCTTGCTACTTAATTCAACATTAAATTTTATTATTTGCTTTTGCCCTGTATGTTCACCATTGTGTTAAAGTATCTTTATTTTTTAATTTAAACAACAAAAGGGTCAGTATGACCAGAAAAAAAAACAAACCCCAAAACAAAACAAAACCAGAAAAACCCCAAAACATACATGAGCTATACAGGTGGGGTGTAGTCACAGCTACTTGGGAGGCTGAGGTGGGAAGATCCCAGAAGTTCTGGGCTGCAGTGCGCTGTGCTGATCAAGTGTCTGCATGAAGTTCAGCATTGATAGAGTGACCTCCTTGGGAGCGGGGGACTACCAGGTTGCCTAAGGTGGGGTGAACCAGCCCCGGTTGGAAACAGATCAGATCAGAGTAGTGGGATTGTGCTTGTGAAGGGCCACTGCACTCCAACGTGGGCAACATAGCAAGACCCCCTGTCTTTTTGCCCCGCCCCAATTTAGGGAATCCTGTGTCTCAAAAAAAAAAAAGTTTGCCCCTTTGAAAAAAATAACACACATAATAAATGCATATGTAATACATCACGTCAAAGTATAATTTTCCCTTCCTACTCGCAACACATGAGAGCTTTCTACATCCTTGTCAACGTATGGTCTCTTAAGCTTTAAAAATTTTAGCTATTCTTCTGGGGGTATAGTAGTAATTCAGTATAGTTTTAATTTTCATTTCTTTAATAACTAATGATGGTGAGCACCTTTCCATATGGTTATTGGTATTGAGATCTCTGTTGTAGAGTGCCTTGAAATAATTTTCTCATTTAAAAACACCTGCATTGTCTGTCTTTTATGTTTTTCTATTTTTTATTGACTTTAGGGTTCTTACATATTCTGGATTCACATCTTTGTTAGATATGTGCATTGCAAATATCTTTCTATAATGGTATGTTTTGATGAACAGAAATTCTTTAATTCTTTATTTAAGTCGAATTTATTAGTCTTTTCCCTTATGGTTAGTGTCTTATTTAAGACATCTTTGTCTCCCACAATGTTATGAAAATAATCTTATAAAATTTTAGAAGCTTTATTATTTTATTTTTAAAATTTAGATCTGGAGTCTGTCAGGAACTGAGGTTTATGTATGATGTGAGGTAGGGTTCATGATTTTTCTTCTTTTTAATATATAGACGTTCAGTTAACTCAGTACCATTTATTGAAAAGACAATCCATTTCTGTCTGCACTGCAGGGAGGCGGGAGTTCAGTCCTGACTTCACATCAAGTAGAGATAGTATTTGCACCCCAAAGAGGAGTTAAATTCATTTACAGCATGGCTTAAGACTATATCAAAGAACTATTTTGCTTTCTTCCTCCTTTTATTTTTTTTAACTTTGTTGGAAATAATTTCATATTTATGTAAAATTTGTAGCAAGAGTACATAGTGCATCTGTTATGTACCCTTCACCCAGATCCCCCAACTGTTAGCATTTCTGAACCAGCTGAGAATAAGTTGTTGGCATGTGGTCCCATTCCCCTTAGTATTTCAGTGTATTGTTCCCAAATACATAGCCATTCTCCTGTCAGGAAGTTAACATTGATCTGGTATCATCATGTAATACAAACACTCCATTCTTCCTTCATTGATTGTCCCAGTAATATTCCTTTGTAGGTCCAGGATCTAATCGGGATCATGTATTTATCATTTCTTTTCATTCTACTTCAATCTGGAATAGTTCCTCAGAGTTCTTGTCCTTTATGACCATGACATTTTTGAATAGTACAGGCCACATCATTTGTAGAATGCCCCTCAATTGAGTTTATCTGGAGTTTCCTCATGATTTTGAATTTTTAGCATGAATGTCCCAGTGGCGTTGGCTTACCTCAGTGTTACTTATCAGGATAAACCTGATACTGATTTGTCCCATTAGTGATGACTTTTGTCACTTGGTGAAGACTATGTTTGCCAGGCTTCTCTACTGTAATGTTAATTAATAAGTATGTTTTCTTATTAAATAATAAGGAACTAATTATTTTCTGAGGAGAAACTTTGGGACTATATAAACATTCTGTTCCTCATCAAACTTGCTTTCACTTACCAGATTTGGCATCTATTAATGATTCTTTTCTGAATTAATACTCTGAAGAGTGCCACAGGGTGATTTAATTAATTAATTTATTTATATGGCTTAGAACAACAGAAACTTATTTTCTCTTAAAGGGTGATGTTTTGATTCCAGTTGTTTTGTTTTTAATATTTATTAGTTGGCATTCTACCCTAGAATTTTCTCTTTCCCCTCATTTGTTTGTTTGTTCATTTATTTCTATCACTATAGACTCTTGGATTCCTATTTTACTTACAGGATTATAATCTATCATTATTTATTTTGATTCTCAATTTGTCACAGACTTGACCAGGGGTATGAACCTTTCTAGTTGACTCCAGTGTCCTTCTACTGTTTTCATCCTTCTTGAGCACTTCTTACTTTCTGGCTCAGTAAGATGTTCCAAGGTCATCTCATATTTTCCTTGTCCTGGCCCTGGCACGAGCCATTTCTTCAAGGAGCCTTGGTTGATTAATTAATCAGTTCATTGTTTGAACAAATATTTATTGAGTGACTGCTATGTTCCAGGGACTATTCTGCCTACAAAGCTTTTCCTTGAGTGTTAGCAATGTATAGCTCCTTAAAAACTAGTTGTGGCATTTTTCTTTCACTTTCCACAGAATGGGAATCCACAGTAGTTGTTATGTATGTTTGTATATATAACCAATTAGTCTTGTTATGTTTATCACTGATAAATACAGAAATTTCCTTTAATCTACCGAAAAACCACTAGAAACGGATTCTGCGTTGACAGTGTCCACTTTACAGCCATGTGATGCATGAGGAGTGCTGCGTCATGATCATCTTTGCAGCCTGGGTCCAGCTCGCACCTGCTGGAGTGGTACTTAGCATTATCTGCAGGTTCTCACAGTTGGAAGTGACTCTGTACGTGTTTCCTGTGGGCGCGTTGTTGTGTAAGTAAAGAGGCTGTGCACACGCAGCGGTGGCAGTCTCGGTCTTGATAAAACAGGTGGAGAGACTTGGCTCCAGGAGTCGAAACCTCTTCAGCGCAGTTTGCACTTGTCTGGTGCTTCTCCACTCTCCTTCACGAAGACCAGTGTCTAGCATTTCTGTGAAGAAAATAGATTGCAGCCTTACTTTCAAATGAGAAATTTATATGAAATCATTGATTTATTTAAATGATATGACTATAATACTTCTATCTAGCTTAAAACCCAATTTTGGTATGGCTGGCAGGACATAGTATATCCTACCAGTGCATTAAAATCACCTCACTGATGATTGTTAGATACATTAGTTTCTGTTTATTGCCCTAATTAAAGGATGAGGCCTTTCCAACTTTTTTTTTCTTTTCTTTTTTCTCCATTTGAACTTTATGCTATTTGTGTCTGTATGATTGTTGCAAAGTAGAATTCAGAAAGACATAAATCTTACAACCGATTGATATGTTAACTATTAAACTGCAATATATATGAAATAAGAAAAAAAACTTAAAAAAAAATATACACTACTCTTTGGTGTTAAATTTGTAGAAGACTGTTGGACAATTCCTAATAAAGTTAACCATAGACCTACTCTGTGATCTAGTAGCAATCCCACTGCTAGGGATATACCTAAGGGAACTGAGTGTATGTGTCTGCTAAAACACTGTGGCTTTATTTAATTGCTCCCAGCTGGACACAACTCAGATGTCCCATCAGCAGCAGAGTAGATAAACTGATGTATCCATTCAGTAGAGTACTGTTCAGTGATTAAAAAAAAAAATGTTTGAATACTGAAATATTTGACAAAATTGTTACATTGAGTGAAGGAAGCATGATAGAATAATACACATTCAGGTTTGAAGAACAGGCAAAACTGATGACAGAAGTCAGAATAGGTAACTTGGGGAGGTGGGTATTGACTGGAAATAGCTATGATGGAACATTCTAGGTGATGAAAATGGTCATATCTTGATCTGAATGGTGGTCACTGAATGTTTATAATGTGTAATAATTTGTAGATTTGTATGCTTAAGGTTTGTGCATTTTACTTACCCCTCAGTAAAATACTGTAGGAAAGAAAGAAAAGAGAATCCTTTATTCTTGACTTCTCTTCCTCTGCCCTGAGTGTTGGTATTAAATTAGGGGTTTGGGCTAATTGGACTTACTGTTCAGTATGTTAACGTTCTTTGCTGTTTTTCTTATGCTTATCTTTTTTTCTTTTCCACCTCCTTTGTCCTTCCACCCTCTTTGTTTTTCTCCTTAACCTTGGTTTAGTTCCTGTTCTTATTATACTCTTCAGTGGTTTCGCATAAATTCTTTAGAACTGGGACACAAAGTGAGCAATTACTGACTCTTGCTGGATAGCTGATGACGCGGCTGCCGGTTCTGCGTTTGTCAGGTTCCGGCACCCCCGGCGGGCGCTTTATGCCAGCCCCATTTTCTCTGCTGCAATAAGTCGACCCATTTTTGTGTGTGACGAATGGAGTCTTAAATGTATGTTGCAAAAGGCGTAATTCCAACAAAATAGTACAGGATTTACACTGAAAAAATAAATTTTACTTTCTATAAAAACTTCAGATTCATATTTGTGATTTGTTATATATGTAATGTGTATATATATAATGTTTTACTAAATAACCTCTTTTGGTACTCAAAATAATGTGATGTAATAATTTAGTGTGTGTTATTTATTAAGGGATTTTTCAAACTTTTACAAAAGTAGAGCTGATAAGATAGTGAACAGCCCCATACCCATCACCACCTTCAACAGTCATCTACACGTAGTGGCCAGTCTTGTTTCTCATCTGTCTTTCCTCTGAATTATTTTGAAAGAAAGCTCGGATATATCACTTCATCCATAAATGCTTTAGTATATATCTTTAAAGATTTACAGAAAGCATTAGTAGATTTACTTTGTCCTGTTGTTGGTTATAGAAAAAACTCAAAATGTATTTTCATGAGATAAGTCTAAGAATTACTGATGACCCTGTATTCATTGCTAATTTCAGTTGCTTGATTAGCAAAATATAAAAATATTCACAGATGATAATGTTTTTAATGATTAAATAATTGAAAGCTTCCTGGGGTGAGTAATGCTGACGTTCAGTACTTTCTTTATAGTATCCAAATTAAGCAGTCTGTGAACCTTGTGTTCCCCTTGTTTTGAAACAGTCTTTCAAGTTGAATTTTTGGTCATTAATATACAAAAAAGCTTGCAAACCCCGAAGAGATTTCATTAGAAACAATTTTCCTGTTTATGTAGTTTGTTTACACACCCCTGAGAAAATCATACAGACAGGCCATCAACTCCCACCTTCTTTCATGGTAATTACATGTAATGTAAGTATGGCTTGTGTGATTTATTATGGAAATATTTCACTTGTGTGCTTTTAATATTTTTTTTAAACAGGTAGTATAACTCCAACTGTGGAACTGAATGGGCTTGCTATGAAAAGGGGAGAGCCTGCCATCTACAGGCCATTAGATCCAAAGCCTTTCCCAAATTATAGAGCTAATTACAACTTTCGGGGCATGTACAATCAGAGGTTTGTATGTCTTCTTTGGTTTTGTTCTTATTTATTATTTTACGCATATTGTAACAGTTTCTGAAACTCAAAGAGTATTTTCATTGTAAGGAACATTTACTTTGGGCATTTTGCATGGAATTTAGATAAATCAGGCTCACAAAAGGAATATTTAAAGTAATACGTTTAAAAATAACTGGTTTTCGGGAACTAGTTTTTATTGAGTCATGAGAACCCTGTATTTGTTGCAGGCAGGACCATGTTTTAAAATCATGCCACAATATAGTGCTGACTTTTCAGTTGACTTGCTCATTTATTTACCAGGCAGATACTTAGCTTAATTAGTGGTTTTCTTAATTTGTCCAACTACATTGCAAACATGAATGTTTTTAATTTATAGGAAATTTGTTGGGAGGATTTACTAAGTCTGCATAATTTTGTGATAGTTACAAGTGTAACAGAATTTTCTTTTATGGGCAAGGCAGAATTTTTAAAAAAAAGTTGTGTTTTTTTCTGATCATTTATAAAAGTCACGTAACTCATTATAGAGAATGTAGAAAATGCAAAAAGTTAAAAAGAAAATATAAATAACATGTAATTCCAGAATTAAATACCTTTAATATTTTGATGTATTTTACACTTTTTAAAATTCTTTGCACATATATTTGACCAAAGTGAAGTTATCCTTTATATTCAGTTTCTACAGTACTTTATGGAGGTATATTTATGTGAATGGCAAAATGCACAGATCTTAAATGTACATTGTGATGACTATTATTTATGTATATATATATTTATACTTTACTTGATCACTTTTTATATGTGTGTATCCTCATGTGATGACCACCCCGATCAAGGTTCAGCATGTTTCTGTTACCCTGAGAATTTCCTCATACCTATGTGCACTCGTTATACCTCCTCCCAGGAGGAACAATGGTTCTATCACTGTAGATTAGTTTTGCATGTCGTTGAACTTCATATAAATAGATTCATACAATATGTACTCTTCTGTGTCTGGCTTTTTTCAGTTCATATAATGGTTTTCTTATTTGTTTTTGTTTTTTGTTTTTTGAGATTCATCCTTGTTGCTTGTATCTGGATTTTGCCCTTTTCTGTTGCTAAATAGTGTTCCTTTGCATGATGTATCATAATTTGTTCATCTCATACATACAGTATTGTGCCCTCTTTTAATTTGATATAGTGATCATTTTTCACATTTTTTAAAAGTTTTTTTTTTTAGTAATCTCTACACCCAGTGTGGGGCTAAAACTTATGACCCTGAAATCAAGAGTCTCATATTCTGCCAACTGAGCCAAGTAGGTGCCCCCATTTTTCACATTTTTAAGTGATCTTTGAAAAACATATTCGATGGCTATATAATGCTTCATTTGGCCAGAGTATATTTTACAAGGATATAAACAGGTATAAACAAAGAACACCTGATAATCATATAAACAAAATGTACTTGTTTTGATCATCTAAGTTTTTTTTGACAATTATAAATAATGTGCAACAATCTTTACATATAAATTTTTGTTTACATCACTGATTATTTCCTTAAAATAGATTACCTTATAAGGGGAATATTGGGTTAAAAAGAATAATATGTTGCCCAATTGCATTAAAATTTGTATTAATTATTTAGTGTATATTCTGTTCCATTCTGACAACACTGAGTTAAAAAAAAAACATGTCTTATTTGATAGATAAAAAGTGGTATGATTTTAAAGTTTGGTTTTATTGATTACTTGTGGGGCTGAACAGTTTTCAAGTATTTTGTTTGTCCTTTTTGATTTGTCTATTTGAATTTGCTAATTTCTGTTGCATTGGCATTTCTTTTGCAAGACCTGCTTGGCAGGTCTTCAAATGTTTATGTGTTGGGAATATTAGCATTACGTCTGTTTTGTTTAATTTTCCTGCTTTGTAAAAACTGGCTTTTAGTTCTGTGTTTGTTTTGATGTGCAACAGTTTTAGATGTTATATGGCCTAGTATTTTTGTGTGTGTGTGTGTGATTTCTCCAACTGCTTTTATGCCTGAGAAATTCTTGTGATCAGATATTTGCTAATGCCTAAAAAGAATATTTTTATTGAGATATAATTGACATACAACATTGTGCAAGTTTAAGGTATTCAGCCTACCCTGATTTATGTTGCATTATGATTGCTATTGTAGTGTTAACTAACACCTTGATCATATCGCATAATTATTTCTTCTAGTGTTGGGATGCTGATACTTTTTAAATCATTTTGTGTATTTACTACCATTACAGTTCAGATGTGAGAAGATGTGTGGTCTATACATAATACCTTTTGGTGTCTTGTTTGGCAGTGGTGTATTTACCATTTAAAACTTAGTCCTATTCAGATTGTAAATGGTTCTTTTAAATATTATTGCTTATGTTCTCTAAGAAAAATGAGTACAATCTTCTTAGACTTTTGCTCCTCCCCCCTTTTCTCCCAGGTGTGTCTGGGGGAATTTACTGTGTTGTCTTGGTAGGAAAGGAGGGACCCTCACCTTTGTGTGGGTGTTCTGTATTGTCCTCTAAGCTCCTCTGGTCTTTGTGATGATGTCCCTTGTCCACCAGATAGCTGACACCTTTCTCTTCTGCCTTGCCGAAACCTGCAGTTGGTGATGTGTAGTCCATTTTTTCCTGTCAGGTAATGCTTCCACAGAGTATTTACCATCTCTCCCTTGCTCTCTTGACCTAAATCCTTAACTCTCTTTGGCTCCCTTGGAGTGTTGTTCCATTCTCATCCTCTTCCGTAGTGTCTCCTAAACTGGAGCATCCAGTGGCAGGCTTATCAACTCTCAACTTGGTGTCCACACCACATAGGTGGCAAGAAGGACATACCATTTCTCTGGTAGTTGCTTTACTTTCCCTTTTTCTGTATAACCTGCCTATAGCCTTTCTTGTAAGCTTGAGGTTACCTAATATAAATAAAACTATTTGCCTACTTAAGCACAATAGATACATTTGGTCACCTGAGTTGGGAACACCTTGCCTATCAAGATATTTTACTTTTAATATACTATAGTGAATAGACTCATGAGGATATTTAAATGCTTATTATATTTTGATATCTGTAGTTCTTTATTGAAATCTTACTAGAGTTGTTTTTTTTTTTTTTTAAAGATTTTATTTATTTATTTGACAGAGAGAGACACAGCGAGAGAGGGAACACAAGCAGGGGGATTGGGAGAGGGAGAAGCAGGCCTCCCGTGGAGCAGGGAGCCCAATGCGGGACTCGATCCCAGGACCCTGGGATCGTGACCTGAGCCGAAGGCAGACGCTTAACGACTGAGCCACCCAGGTGCCCCTAGAGTTTTGATTAGTGGATTTATTACTTTTAAATGAAAGAAATCTGGTGCTAAAACAATGAGAAATCTGACAGTAATCTCTGTGGATTATTATTATGGAGCTCATGTTCTAGTAAGGGAGGCAGTCATAAAGAGGTGGTTACTCACTGGGGTGACTTTTGATAAAGACCTAAAGGAAGAGAGGGAATAAGTAGTGTGTATGTCACAAGAGAAGGAGAGAACATTCCAAGCAGAACAAACAGGAAGTGCAAAGCCCCCGAGGTAGGAAGGTACCAGGCGTGTTGATGTCTTCTCCAGCAGACCAGCAGGGCTGGAAAAGACTGAAAGGAGGTATGAAGGAGGAGAGTAGTTGGTATATGAGGATGTGACACGGGTCATATGGTTTGGTTTTTTTTTTTTTTTCCCTATTGTAGGTCTTCCGTTAAGAATGTTGACATTTTTCCTTTGTTGGCAATTTCTAGTTTCAAGATCTGATTCCATAGTTGTCATGAGGGGTGTAAGAATTTATGTATGACTTCTCTAAGGGGTTGTGCTTTAGGCCATTCCCACTTAATGGATAAAGAGGACTTTGCTTTCAGATTGTTGGGAGAGTCTTTAGAATATTCTGCAGATCACAAAAAAGGTAAAAAAAAAAAATAGAGAAGTACTGGTAAACTGCCAAGTCATGTTTCAACTGAAAAGCTCTCTGCTCACAGAAGGGCAAACCTAACCATTACTCATTAGGCTGTAAAAATTAGGATTTCACATGGGGCGCCTGGGTGGCTCAGTCGATTCAGCGTCCGAGGTCCTGGGATCGAGCCCCGCATCAGGCTCCCTGCTCAGCGGGGAACCTGCCTCTCCCATTGCCTCTGCTTGCCGCTTCCCCTGCTTGTGCTCTCTGTCTGTGTGTCAAATAAAAGTAAATAGGGGCACCTGGGTGGCTCATTTGTTAAGCATCTGCCTTCGGCTCAGGTCATGATCCCAGGGTCCTAGGATCGAGCCCCACATCGGGCTCCCTGCTCTGGGGGGAGCCTGCTTCTCCCTCTCCCTCTGCCGCTCCTCCTGCTTGTGTTCCCTCTCACTGTGTCTCTCTGTCAAATAAATAAATAAAATCTTTAAAAAAAATAAAAGTAAATAAATCTTTAAAAAATATTTTAAGAATTAGGATTTCACATATGACCTTAATCTGCAGATGACAACACCTGAATGTGTCACAGGGAATTTGGAGCCAAAGATAGAGGAGACTCTTTTCTCCTTGTCAGAATGCAAATGAATCAGTAGCTTCTTAATAACGCAGGGAATGAAAGGTTAGAAAGTCCAAGAAACAGATATCATTTAAAGGGATTTATAAAAAAAGTCCTTTCATTTTCTACTTAAAATAATATTAAGTAATAATTAGAGATTACCCATGTTGGTTTTTAAAAAAATATATTTTTTATTAAATTCTGTTTTTTTAAGGTTATTTATTTAGAGGGAGAGAGAGCATGAGCGGGGGGAGAAGCAGAGGGAGAGGGAGAAAGAATCTGAAGCAGACTCTGCGCTGAGTGTGGAGTGATCAGGGACGCGAGATCATGACCTGAACTGAAACCAGGAGTCAGATGTTTAACTGATTAAGCCACCCAGGTGCACCTAAATTCTGTCCTTTCCTGATGAGATTTCCTGACTTAAGCTCATTCAAAGGCTAAGGAGGCACTTAAAGCGCCACCCCTCTGTTGCCCTGGTT